CAACTATAATATACATAAACATAAATATAAATAGGATCACAAAATAAATAAATTTAATTAAGTGTATAAAGAAAAAATATTTATAAAATATTCACTTAAATATGCATCACTTTATCTTTATGAGTTGATTACAAGTTTCATTTTATGGTTCTTAAACACTATTAAAGCTTTAGTAAATAGATCAGTAATAATCAAAATAGTACTTAGGTTCATAATTGACACTTATCATTTTTGGACTCTTTCTCTAACTATTAAGTGTTTTATCTCGATATGCTTAGAACCATTATAGTACTTATCATTCTTAGAGAAGAAAACTACTATGGTCCTATCACAAGATATCTTCAGTGGCCTGACAACTAAGTCGACCATACTCAATCTTGAAATAAAATTTTACAACTATAATACTTAATTTTGTTGAATCTCGGATTTTGATGATGAAACCAATTGATAGTATTTATGATTTGATATGTGTTTTAAGTGACGCGGGATGCTTCGATCAGGGAGAGACATTTAAAGTAGGAAGAATCATGTTGGGTTAGAGAAACATGTCAGAAGATTGGACGTCGCGTCGAAGGATTAGTCGACATATTGACAGAAGGCTTCGGGCCATGGTTTCGGGCATCGGGCCAATAAGAGCGGATATTGTGCCAAGGATATCGGAGTTGTAGAGGTCAACTGGCCGATTGAGCAATAAGCTACAAGAGAGGACGATGCGCCGAAGAATCAGATGAAGCGTCGATGGACCAATGACATGCCGGATGACATGATTCATGCTTAGTAATAATTGTCTAGTTCGAAGTGTGTTTTTATGTGTGTAGGATTAACTATGATAGCAAGGCATAAAGCAAATTGAAGTCTCGGAGTTAAGACCACGATTTTGTTGGAAGTTCGAGAGTTCGTCGAAAGGCCGAACTTTCGTCGGAAGTTCTGCCGGAACTAACCGAGAAGTCCAGGAGCTTACCAAAGAAGCTCATTGGAACTCACCAAGAAGATTATCGTGAAGTCCAGGAGCTTGCTAGGAGTCCGTCGGAACATTGTCGAGAGATCGTCGAAAGTTCGCTGGAGCCGGAAGAAATCTGACTTATTTTTCTTAGAATATGTCTTAGGAATCGTAGTTAGCACATAATTGGAGTTAAGATTGGGAGGTAATCCCATCAACCCTGTTAGGGGTCAATTGGGCCCGAAGTTGGGTTGATTTGGGCCAGATTCAAGGCCTAACTAGGATGTTGAAAGCCTGGCCGGTGGTGGCACCGCCTGGGGAACAGCACCCCAGGAATTATGGGCAGTAGTACCACCTAGTGGCAGGGTGTCAGGCGGTGGTACCGCCCAGTGCAGTATCAGTGTCAGACTGACACTAGTGGTGGTATCGCCCATACCCAGGAAACCCGGGATGAGATATTTTTAGGCTCCAAGTTTGAATCAACTTGAGACCTATAAATACCCCTCTCATCCCTGGTTAAATTACATAAGACTTGAGAGTAAAAAAGAAAAGAAACGTTGCTGTAATCTTGTGTGAACTCCTCTCCTTCTTCTAAGTGTTAGAATAGTTTGAGAGAGGAGTAAGTGGGGTGTAAGGGTTATCTCCTAAACCTGATAAAAGGAGAATCGAGTTGTAAAAGGTAGTTGGTCTTTGCCTATTGAAGGAAGATCGATAGTGGATGCCGGTGGCCTCGACGGAAGAGGAATCGGTGGAGTGGATGTATGTCACGACGATCAAACCACTATAAAAATCTGGTTTGCCTTTACTTTGAGCAATTTACTTTAAATTGCAAATTGTCTTCTCATTACTTGTTACGCTCTTCTTATAATAGCCTTCAAAGTTAAGCATTTCTAAAATCGATTTGATCATACGAAACAAAATATTTTTCAGAACCAACGTTTTTACCGCTACACTAATTCACCCGCCGCCCCCTCTTAGTGTCGACTCATTCCTAATAGATTTGTGACCTAAAAGCATATCACAAATTTATAAACAATGACTTTAAATTTTTTAAAGAAATTATGCCTCAAATTTACATGAATATGAATCCTGAAGTGGACTTTCTATTGTCGAGGAACTTACAAAATCAATATTTGAATATCTTGTTACTTCAAACTGATATAATCTCTTATATGTGAGCATGTAGACTTTCATCCCTATCAAATATCTTATTACTTTCTTTATAACTTTCTAATATTTCATTCCCGGGTTGTCTTAGTATTTACCTAGTATTTGAACTATAAAACTGATATATGGTCTCATATAAGTTTGAGTATATAATAAACTTTTAACTACACATATATAAGAATTATCCTTCATTTTATTATAATAAACTTTCTCCTCTAGTAATATGTGCATTATTAGCTAAGTAAAACTATATACTAAATTTGTCTAAGATTCAATTAATATATTTTTTCTTAGATAGTCCTAATAATCGTTAAGATTTATCCCTAAATATCTCAATGTCAATAACATAAACTGCTTGATTCATATCAACCATATTAAAATTCTTATTAAAAAACATCTTGATTTCATATAATAAACTAAGATCACTATTAACATGCAAAATATCATTCACATATAATATCAATATAATAAACTTGCTCCGGTTGACTTTTAGATATAGAGATTGATCAATAATATTTTTTTTAAATCCGAAAAAAGTAATGATATCATAAAACTTTATATATAATTATCTGAAAGTTTATTTAAGTTCATAAATAGATTTTTGAAGTTTATAAACCAAACTTTTTTTTTCCATCTCCACAAATCCTTTAAGTTGTTTCATTAAGAAATATTGCTTTCACATGCATCTGATATAACTCAAGATCATAAAGAGTTATTAATATCATAACGATCCTCAATGAATCCTTTTTCAAAAGAAAATGTCTCGTTATAGGTGATGTTTTCTTTCTGAAAAAAAAACTTTTAATCATAAATTTGACTTTATATCGTTCGATATTACCCTTTGAGTTATGTTTTGTCTTAAAGATCAATTTATAAATGATTCTTTTATAGTTATTAGATAATTTAATGAGTTCACATATATCATTTTAGTTTATTAATTTTAACTTTTTTTTTATTGCATCAAACCATCTATTTGGTGTTTTCTATGACTTATGACATGATAAGAGGTCCTTTTTTATTATTATGTCACAATCTAATTCTTTTAGATATATCATATAATCATGAAAAATCTCTTTTACCATTGAGATCATATAAAAAATATTGATTATAGTTATTCTACAATATCAGCGGTGACATCAATATCATGTGATAATTTATCAATATTATTTTATTATTCACCCTTATTAATTCATTCAGTGATTTAAGGAACAATAACCTCTTGAATGAAAATTGATAAAGGAGTATCAACCTTATGTTCTCTATATCAAAATTAATCTTTTGAGATTTTTTCACTCTCATTAATTTTGTCATTTTTTACAAACCATGCATTACCATATTTTACCATTCTCGTACTATAATTATGATAATAAAATAT